AAGGGTATCTATCCCTTATCTATACTACCTCATGAGAGATGTACGCAGGGCCTGCTCTCCAGAGTACTGCAGCTGGCTAGGGTCAAGCCAGCTCTCCTGCTCTCATGTCTCCAGGGCCAGCTCTTCCACAATGCCTAGGTGAGGGGTGGGATCAGTTCTTCCCTCAGACATGAATATGTCCCTTGGGAGCATCTACCTGGCCTTTAGTGGTAACAGACCCCTGCTGCTGCAGGGCCACAGACCCAGATATGGGGGCAGCACAGGCCAGGACCTCACCATGGTCCCAGGTAGCATCATGGCTACTCACATCAGACTGTTCCTCACTACTCTCAAGTTTCCAGTTCTGCGTCTCTTCATAGTGCCCACATCCTTCTGTTTTCTCTTTCTCTCCCATTTCTCCACCACTTAGTAGAGCATGGGGTCTCTGAGTGTCTGGGATCATTTTCTCAGGAGTGGTCTCAGGAGTGCTATGTCCCAATCATGCACTCTGGCCAGGCAGGGGTCAGCTTGGGTACAGCCTGTCTCCTCCAGGCCTGCCTAGCACCATCCTAGCCTCTGACACCAGAACGATGGTCATCTCAGACTTTTTTCAGGGAATGTTAGTCTACTTACCAATCATTCGGATGTTCATTCACCAGTCAGAGCACTGAGCATAGACATGACCTCTCTCCCCTCTGCCACCTACTGACCCACCTGTGACACAGCAGCCACACCTGCAGTGCCTCTAGGGGAAGGAACAAAAGACAACTTTTCAATTCTAGTCTTCAAAAGTCAAACTATTTGCTGGCATTCAGAAAAATATTTGTAAATAAAAAAGTCACCAATTTCAAGATTTTTCCACCATGAGTTTAATTCTTTTAGAGAAAAATGATTTCAGAATAGGAGGGCTTTTTTAAAAATTGCAGCAAATGCATGCTACTATTGTTAACCATTTGGAGAGGTTATTTACTATTTATTTTGAAATAGGAGTTCACTCTATAGCCCAGGCTGGCCATGCACTCACTATGTTCCTGCCTCAAGGCTTTTGAGTGCTAGAATTCTAAGTGCATACTACTATGCTTGAACAGTGGGGGAAAAAAAAATCAAGTGTGATTTACTGTGATATTTGTTTAAGGGCATAGGTTTCCTTTAAGAGCAAATCATTTAAAATTAAAAGCCCTTGGCTGATGTCACAGGACCTACAGATGGAATCTAGCAGGTCAGATCTGTGTGAACTAGTTTCAGCTCTGATAAAGGCTTATCTCTTTCAGGGTCCCTATTCTTCTGTTGCTTTGACCTCAACATCCCTTGCCTGCTAATCTCTGCTTTCTGCATCTTTGGCATTTGACCTGGGTGAGATGGGTGTGGGATGGCAGGTCCTGGCAGGGTAACAAGGTCCTGGAGCAGGTAGGAAGTTGAAATGACCTTATACTTCACAATGACATAGTATTTTTAAAAGCAACTAGAAAACTGGTTTTTAAGAGGTGCATTGGATATGAGACATTCCCATAGGCCAAACTATTGATTTTTTTTCCCTCTACTGATATCGAGAGATCTTCTTTGATCTCTAAGGCCCAGGATGAAGAACGTAGAGAAGCGCAGGTAAAGGTTTCTGAGGCCCTGGGGTTGGGTCTATCTGGGCCCAGTGTGGTCTTTGACTTCTTCCTCATCTAAAAGGGACTAACATGAACCAAAGGGCATGGGTAGGTTTTCTAAATTAGACTCTAATCCTCAGCTGTTTTTTTCCTGTCAGTCATGTAGTAAGACTCAGCAGGAACACAGGAATATAAGGTGTAGGAATAGATTAAATCCCGCTCTGGAGAGCTTGACTTCTAGTGAGGTAGGGCTTGAGAGGGAGAAATGACTAAGTGCCCAGTGTGGCTGCATGTATAGGGCAATGGGAAAAAAAGTTTCTTAGATGAGGTGAGATGAAATAAAGTGATGTGAACATACTGAAGCAATTTTTGCTTAGAGATAGACATAAGGCACACTCCTGTTCAGGTGCTCTTTATCCAGACCTGCAATCAATGCAGATCCTACGATTTGTAAAAGAAATGCCCTCATATCTGATCCATCTCTTCCACTGTTAGTCTTATGAGGACTGTTTAGCCGTCCACCCATCCACCCACCCACAGATTTAAAAACATTGAGTTTCTGTCATGCTAAGTGTAAAAGGCCTAGAGCCTACCTTCAACTAATCCAGGATTGAGTGGGAGAGATAAGTAGAAACACATGTTGGTAGAACAATGTGATAAAGAGGCAAACAAGAGGCAGATAATATTTAGGAGACTTTAGAAAAGGAGTAGCTAGCCCCTGCTGGGGTGAAAAGTGCCTGAGTGAGGGTTGAACGCAATGGGGTCTGACATAAGCCTAAAGCCTTCAGGAGACACGGGGATCACAGTTCGAGGAGCATTGCAACCAAAGAAGGGCAAAAAAGGGGGGATCCTGAGTGGAAGGAAGGGCTCTGTGGGCTGAGGACATGGAGGGAGTATGGAAGGTGGGGAATTTGAGGTTAGTAGTTTCACTTTGGAAGCACCCATTCTGCTGATTGGGAGATGCTGGTTCCATTGAGGAAAGGTGAGTTTAGCTCTGTGTGACCCACTGTTCCAACAGGTTCCCATCATTTCTACACTGAGACAGGGCTGCTTCTCAACCAGAAAGTATGGCTTAAAATCACACTTGTTTCCCATTTAGGTAATACACATGTGCAAGGCCAAGACAAAATGTTCAAGTCCAGCTGATGTTCAAGCAGTTGTCATGTGGGAAGGAGTTCTTGTTGGCCAAAAAGCCAGGGGAGAAAGAACACCACACACACACACACACACACACACACCCTTTTGCATCTTCAGAAAGGGTTAGATCTCCAGCAGCTGTTCTATGTCACAATCTTCAAGTTGGGAAAGGGGCAGGTTCTTTTTTTCTTTCTCCAAAAAAATAATAAAGCAGCAATCCGTTTCTGTCCCAGAGTTATTTCCTGTGATGAGAGCCCTTGAGATCCCTGGCAACTCCCTCTTTTCAGTTTCCTCCCTGGGCAAAGGGCTTTTCCCCAAGGGAAGTGTCATTCATGCTGCAGAGCGCATAGTCCAGCAGAGAACGCACCAGATGTTCGGCCAGAGGTTTCCTCCCTCCCTCCATCAACTGGAAGAGAAAACATGTTTCCACTGGACCTCTTTCCAAGTGTGTTGCTATGAAGGGGAGTGTTGTCTGGCTGGCAGACAGAAACTCTTGTTGTCGTCGAGCTGGGCTCCAGCACAGTACTGCCAATTTATGAAGTTCTTTCGTTTGCAGATGTGTAAGTGAACTGGACATGCAGTAGGGTGAAGGTCCTTTGCCGATGTGGGAGTTTAAATGATTCATAGGGCCATGTGGTTACACGTCCCTCTGCAACCTTCCACGATTTCCTATTCCCTGTGCCCCACAGAACCAACCACTGCTTATGTTTTCCATATTTTTGGCAAACTACTGGTCACAACGTGATAGATGTGAATCTGTCTTCTCCACTGCTGGAGCCATAGACTGTCGTTCTCAGCTTTCTTATCCCGAGTCTGTCAGAAGTCAAGGGCCAGGAGGTCAGGAATCTGGGTTTGTTTACTAGTATGTCTCAAGGGTCCAGCACATTGCTTCATACATAGAAGGCACAGAGTGATTATTTAAGGAATAAATAGATTCCTAATAAAGCCTGCTGTACAGTTATGAGACGGAGAACAGGCCTGTAAGGACAGGGCATCTCTGGTGCTTTTTTGGAGGGAAACCAGAATGTTTAATGGCTCCTTAATGTTTAAGGAGCATTTCCCTCATGCCTGGACATTTCCAGTTTAAAGGCACAAACTAACCTGTAGGACCATGGAGGGTTGGCAAGCTTTTCCTTAAGGAGATATTCATCATAGTAAAGCCATTTTCAGTGTGGTGTATTCAATGCAGTTGATGCACAGGTTCAGCTGGAAAGGCCCTTAATGAGCAGGATTTAGTATTGCAAGGCCTGGTTATACCTATCATGTGAATACGACCCCCATGAACGTAGGGATGTCCTTGGCTATCAGGCACTATAAAAGGAGTGAATTAGAATTACAAATTGAACATAAAATCCATCTCTGCACTTTCTATACTTTCTTGAAATAGGCTGATTGCTGTAAGCAAGCATACACAAGAATGAAGGGGGAAGGATGGACGGCAACTGGAAAAGCAACAAGGGTGAAATGTCACTCCCTAACAATAGGAATTTGGCCTCTGAATGATAGGCCTAGGAATGTAATCTTCTCAGTCATTCAAGAGAGGCATATTTTTATGTGTAGTATTGAATTTATGAAACTGTGTGAACTTTTGCACTCTGGAGAGCACTCAACACAACAGAAATGTTTGCTATATCAACAATTTTCTCAGTGACCAGCAGCTCGATGGAAAATCCCTCTAAATCCAAATGTTCCACCAACATTCTTCTCATTCAGACTTCCAATGGAAGTAACAGCTCTCAACAAGAATTATTTTCTAGCCCTTCTCTTGACATCAGGTGAATTTATCCAGTCTCTTTTACAGAGCTTCTGTCTGTCTCTGTGCCCTGGGTTAGGTGCTCTGCATGGAAGATTTTTTCCTTTCTTCTTTCTCTAAGACAGTCACTATTCATTCTTTTATCAATAATTTATTTACTCCACATAGAATTCTTGCTGTGTGTTAGGTCTGGATTTGGTTGGGGACATGCAAAACGTGGATGGAGATCTTATTTAAAATGACACACAAGACCTGGTCCCTGCCCAGAAATCTTGTAAAAGATTTAGGCTCTGCCTCTGTATTGTCTGCACACATCTGTGATTCATGAGGGCTGGCTGTGTCTAGCGTGTATGCCACCATGTTAGGTGGGTTAGGTTACCCAGCTTTTTGAATTCTATTTACTTTTGTGCCTCACAAAGAAGTGAACAGGATGGCTGCTGGGGAGACTCCTAGGTCCTAGGTTTGGATGCCTTTGGGGGTTAATGTCCCCACCCCCGTGTGCAGCCAGAGGCTCAGCCAATGTTTTCTCTGCACAGGTGTGGAGACCAGAATGAGCTACTATGTGGATCCCACCGTGGACAGCCCCACCACATACCCTGCACCTCATCCTGCAGTGGCGGTGAGTGATGGTCTCTCTCCTGCTTCCTTTCCTTCCCCACCCAGCCTCTATACATCTCTTTCTGCCCCTGACGACATGGGGAAGTTAGGGATTCAGCTTTGGACCTCTTGGAGGAGTTCGGCTATCTATGTTTTATGTGAATACAAAGTAGAAATCCAGGAATCCTGGATTTGTTGAGGGTTTTTAGTTGCAGAGACTGTGACTCCTCCTGGGGAGATATTGCATGATGCCTAGAGACAGGCTCAGCTGTCAGATTTTAAGTGCCACTGTCACTTAGTTGGAAAAGGCCAAAGACCTAGCTAAGGTCCTAATAGCTCCACAGCAAGGGTATGCTACCCTTAAAGTCAGCGGCCCTCCGGTCAAGAATGCTGGTTCAGAACAGCCTCATATGTGAAGGCAGACTGGTCTAAGCTGGTTCCATTTACTTGTAAAACATTACTTTAAAAAGTGAGATGGTATTTCTACTCCAAGGGGCTTGTTTAGCAGATTGTCTTACTAGAACAATAAACAATATTTCAAAATAGATTATTTTCTTGTCCTAAAAGATTACCAGGTAGCTGAGTCCCACATTTTGAACTAGAAGTCACATTTGCATTCTCTGGTCACTTGCGCTAGGAGCATTCTTGAGGCAGTATCAGCCACAGTTGTTAAAGCTCTGCAGCTTTCTCAGGTAATGGCCCATTGATGAAGAACTCATGCTGTCTGCCCCAGGGCCAGACTGTCAAAAGCAGGGCACAAATCTCCTGATTTGTAAGGTCTGCCCCTCCAGAGACTATAATGAAGGATGTGACGTCACAGCCAGGAGGTAAAGACACAGCATTTTTAGAATCTGTCTGGCTTTTGTGTGGGAGGGGCTCAGCTTCCAGGTACTTACATGGGTGGTGTGCGGGACCCTTTCATCTGACCGGAAGGAAATGCTCTTTCCTGTTATGCTAGTGTGGCTAGCCTTTGTGGGCTCTGGAAGTCCCTCCAGTGCTTGCTCATTGGCTCTCTTGTGAGTAATCCTTCTTATGCCACCCTGCTGGCCTACCTGGAGGAGGGCAAGCATGCAAGCATTACACTGCTTATAATTTTAACTAAACATGACCTAGGTTGGGACCATCTTCCAGCCTAGGAGGATGTGTGGAGGAGGCCCTCAGGAATGACCTTATTTGGAGCCCATATGGTCAGGATTCTAGGAAGCATGTTGAGCTTCATAGAAAGTAGGAGTGGTAATTGTCCACTACCTCTTCTCAGAGCTGCAGGCTTTGGGACACATAGCAGATATTCCCATGGCCAAGTGTGGGTGCCCCAAGGTGCTGTACTACATGGAATGTGCTGATGCCCAGGAGGTTAAATGAAATACACAGTTAGAATTTCTTTTGATACTGCTCTGTGTTTAGGGGACATCCTGTATGTTTGATGGTGGGGTGACCACATTAAAAGACCCCCATTCTTTCGCCATAGTACAAGCATACTTCTTTTACAAATGTGGTGCTTATATTCTCTAAATAAACACAGAATCAGAAACTATCCTACAAAACTTTAAAAACAAAACCCCATGAATGCATCATATAAAAGAGTTCTAGGCTGGTGAGATGGCTCTTTGGTATTTCACAGAGATACTCTCTGTAAAAGCCTGACAACCTGGGTTAGGTTTCCAGAACCCACATAAAGGCAGAAGAAAAACTGACTGTGTAAAGTTGTCCTCCAACTACCACTGGACATATCACATCCTTTAAAATATTTCCAAGTCTTGCCTTTGTCCAACAGCTACCCTGTTATGCACAGTAGAGCAATGTAAAACTGGGGCTACTTCAGACAGATGATCACTGAAGGGTCCAGGAGACTGAAACATGCCTGAACACATGCTGCATGTCAGATTGAGAAGCTCCTGAGAGATGCCTTAAGCAGCTATTCCACAAATCCTAGACCATGATAATGGGACTCGTGTGCTTGCCCTGTTGGCTGAATGTTAGATTTGTGATGCCAAAGAGCAGCATCCCAGCCATCAAGTTCAGCTACTTACATTTCCAAAATAAGCCCCAAGTGACAGCCCTCACACAAGCTCTCTGTCTCAGTTTTGTTTCTTTGTTTTGAAGATTGTGTGTGTGCGCATGGAGCCATGTTGGATCCCCTGGAGGTGAAGTTATGGGAAACTGTGAGTCATTTGATGTGAGGGTGATGGGAACCGAAACTGGATCTTCTGCAGGAGTCGTATGTGCTCTTAACTGCAAAACTGTCCATCTTTCTAGTCCCCATCTCAGTGGTTTTGAGATTAACTCTGAATCTTGCCCATCTCTCCAAGATCTAGCAAATTTATTTTGTATCTTCCTCCTTCTCTCCCTTTCTTCTGTTTCCCTTCTTCCTTCCTTCCTTCCTTCCTTCCTTCCTTCCTTCCTTCCTTCCTTCCTTCCTTCTCTCCTCCCTCCCTTTCTCCTTTCCTCCCTCCCTGCCTTTTTTCCCTCTCTGTCACCCAGGCTGGCTTCTTTTGTACATTTTATTTTCCCCCTTCCATCATAGTCTAATTAACAGACTAACTTTATACATATCACCTTGTTTCTGTCTTCAGACACTTTGGCTAGCAGAAGGGGAAACCATCTTCCTCTTGCCCTTTTATAGCAGGTATTAGATAGAGCTTTGCAATCCCAAGCCAGATAGCTGTGGGACGCACATGGATTATATTCCTTTTTTTTTCCTTTTGCTGCTAAACAAGATTCTTGAAATTATGTAATTTGTAAACAAAATGAAACAACAACAACAAAAAGACATTTATTAGGCTCTGTTCTAGAGTCAAGTAAGCCAAAGAATATAGAACTATATCTAATGAAGACCTCCTTGCTGTATTGTAAAGATTGTTGAGTCATCTTAGGATGTGGAGACAGAAAGTGAGTGAACAGGGTGGGTGAGCAGGAGAGAATGAGGTCAGAGCTTCGTTTCTTGTTTGTTTGTTTGCTTTAAATCAGGAATCTGTCCCCCACTCCTCCCTGCCAAAAAAGGAATCTACTCCTACCTGCTCAGGGGAGCACAGCCTTTGTAGCCAGTCAACTTCAACAATCCCACTTTATTGCTTATCATAACAGTGACTAAATTCTTACTTGGGTTTTAGTGGATAATTCAAATGATAGCAAGTTGTACATGACCACTGTGAAAAGGACATGAGTGTTGAGGGCAGAAAGACCTGGTCTGTTTTTCCTTAAGCAGCAAAGGTGAGCAAATTATTAGTGCTCTAAACCACAGCATTCCTGAATACAAAAGAGACAAATATAACCTACCACAAAGGTCATGGTGATGCTTCTATGGGGACACTCTTGTCAAGTGTCTCCAGGGAGCTGAGCTCAGTTAATCCCACTTTCCTGCCACTCACCGAATTTTTCTTTTCTATTCTGGGTTCTTAAGTTGTGTTAAGAAGATACTGAGCCTGATGGCCAACTGTCGGGTAGAGTGAATGGAATTTTATGTAAGAAGTGGAAAATAGTAAGAGCTGGAGAGGACAGGAACTCCACAAGGAGAGCAACAGAACAAGAAAATTTGAACACAGGGAACTTCCCAGAGACTCATACTCCAACCAAGGACTATCCGTGGAGATAACCTAGAACCCTGACAATGCAGTCACTTCTGATGAGAACTGATAGACTAAGATCAAAAAGAAGGAGAGGAGGACCTCCCCTATCAGTGGACTTGGGGAGGGGCATGCATGCAGAAAGGGGGGGAGGGTGGGACCAGGAGGGGAGGAGGGAGGGGCTTATGGGGGGGTACAAAATGAATAAAGTGTAATTAATAAAAGTTTAAAAAAAGAAGATACTTGATGGAGGGGAGAAATAGAGAAGATTTTTACTTGTCTTCACAGGGCTGTGTCAGAACAAGATGGAGCTAGGAGGGTATAGGTGGCGACATTCTTGTTGGGAAATCTTGCTTCATGTTCCCCTGAATGATAAAGAGCCCTCTTGCCACCAGATCAAAATTCTCTTGCCTTGGGCTGGTGGTTTACATTGTGTAACCAAATCTGGTTTTTCTGTCTAGAGGAGTTTACTTTAATTGGGCCTCCTTGGGCGGCAATTCTCTTCTTAGCCATGCCTCCAGTTGTTGATACCCTCCTCATGTCCACCACTGAGGATTCCAGCTTTTGGGTGTGATCATGGAGTAATCATGTGCCGTCCCTGTGCTGTGTGTTTGGCCACCATGCTTGCTACTGTGAAGCAGTAATACATACTACGAAGGCTCTGTGGGAATCGGACTAAGTTGTAGTTAATACTTTGTTTAGAAATGTGGAAACACTCAAAAGAAATTCAGAGTCTCAGAAGAAATCAGAAAAGTTTTTTTTTTCCTCTTGTTGCTTCAGGTGATGGTGGTTCTATGAAATTATGAAAGTATAATTCTATAAATGTAAATTGTGTTTATGTATGCCTCTATCTGTGTGTCTGTCTATCTATCTATCTATCTATCTATCTATCTATCTATCTATCTATCTATCGTAGGCATGTCGGTCAGTCCATTTATTTCTCATCTATCATTTATTTTCAAGCATCATAGGGAATGAATATTTTTGAACTGTTAGGGTCTGTCAGTACAAACTAGATAATATCAGAGACAGGCCACAAGTTTGAATGTTACAACACCAGAAAATAAAGATTCTACATGGTTAAATAAATTGCCCAACTTTATAATACCAGGCAAAGCACAAAACGTGACACTAATCTCTTTTTAAAATCTGTTTTTGTTGCTATCACTAAATTTATGAGAGTAGGAAACTTATAAAGATAAAGTTATTGCTACAGTTCTAGAGCTAAGAAGATTCAAGATCAAGGCCTTGATAGGTTCTGGCTCTTGTGAGGTCTCAGTCTCTCTTCCAAGATGGTGCTTTTTTGCTGTGTCTTCTCGGGGAGATAAAAATGCTGTGTCCCTACATGGTTGAGGGATGCGGGGACTGAAGGGACTTCCTCAAGCCATTTTACAAAGGGTCTTATATCATCTGTGAGGTGCTACCTTATCAATTTTTCATTTCCTGGGTGCCTCAACTT